ATATTGGTTGGGATATATTCAGTGATGTCAGGTCTGGTGAAATTTCACCAGATTTGGAGATTTTATGAGAAATCTGGTGATTGGTGAAAAACTTTTTGAAAAATGGCAATTTCTGGTGATTTTAAAATCTCATCAATTTTGAATATTTTTAACAATGGCATACACTTTATAAACATCCCTCGTATGTATTAAAATTTTACTTCATTAACATACCACTTTATTTGTTTGACAGAAAACCAAATACCTATAAGTGATGTGTGAGGTCCTTTGATTTTTATATAAATTTGTATTTGTTCTTTTGATATAATATTTATATAATGTTTCCCTTTTAAAATTTCAATTTCTGTTTATTCCAGGCTCTTGTTGCTATTGGCCAGTTATTTTTCAAGTTGGCAACATGTATTTTGTTTGGCCAGTGGCGTTGCTTATGGGGGGTTCCTAGGTTAGGAGCAATTGCCGATACCTCTATTAAATTTTGAGCAAATTAAAATTATATATGGTTGGAAAGAGCATCAAATTCTCTATAAATCAGTGCTAGATTGAGTTTGATAACTCAAATACTTTTGGAGCAATTAAGCCTCAAAGTTGGATTTTAGTTGAAATTTAATTAAAAACTTCAAACTCGATTTTCTCAAAAACCGTGAATGCCAGCGACTTCAACTAGGTACCATTTTGAAGCCCTCATCAAGAGCTACAATCTCAAAAAACTGATCTAAGATCCTTGACGGGTTTCCAGAAAATTGAGTGTGAAAATTTTGAAATTAAAATCCAAAGGGGTCCCTTGAAAAAATCGAAATTTTTATTTTTCAAATTTTTTGAATTTTGACTTTTCCAATTGATAGAGCGGATCTAAATTAGTCGAAAAATACTCTAACATTATTTCCAAATCTCGATTTCAAAAGGGAAAAAAAATCAAAAAGAAAATCTCAATTTTCAGGTTTAATTTTTTTTAAAATCCTGACAAGGTTAGGAGCAATTGCCGATACTTCTATTAAATTTTGAGCAAATCAAAATAAATTATATATAATTGGAAAGAGAATCAAATTCTCTATAAATCAGTACTAGATTGAGTTTGATAACTCAAATACTTCTGGAGCAATTGAGCCTCAAAGTTGGATTTTAGTTGAAATTTAGTTAAAAACTTCAAACTCGATTTTCTCAAAAACCGTGAATGCCAGCGACTTCAACTAGGTGCCATTTTGAAGCCCTCATCAAGAGCTACAATCTCAAAAAACTGATCTAAGATCCTTGACGGGTTTCCAGAAAATTGAGTGTGAAAATTTTGAAATTAAAATCCAAAGGGGTCCCTTAAAAAAATCGAAATTTTTATTTTTCAAATTTTTTGAGTTTTGACTTTTCCAATTGATAGAGCGGATCTTAATTAGTCGAAAAATACTCTAACATCATTTCCAAATCTCGGTTTCAAAAGGAAAAAAAAAATTAAAAAAAAATCTCAATTTTCAGGTTTAAATTTTTTTTAAATCCTGACAAGGTTAGGAGCAATTGCCGATACTTCTATTAAATTTTGAGCAAATCAAAATAAATTATATATGGTTGGAAAAAGCATCAAATTCTCTATAAATCAGTGCTAGATTGAGTTTGATAACTCAAATACTTTTGGAGTAATTGAGACTCAAAGTTGGATTTTAGTTGAAATTTAGTCAAAAATTTCAAACTCGATTTTCCCAAAAACCGTAAATGCCAGTAACTTCAACTAAGTACCATTTTGAAGCCCTCATCAAGGGCTACAATCTTAAAAATTGATCTAAAATCTTTGACGGGTTTCCAGAAAATTGAGTGTGAAAATTTTGAAATTAAAATCCAAAGGGGTCCCTTGAAAAAATCGAAATTTTTATTTTTCAAATTTTTTGAATTTTGACTTTTCCAATTGATAGAGCGGATCTAAATTAGTCGAAAAATACTCTAACATTATTTCCAAATCTCGATTTCAAAAGGGAAAAAAAAAATCAAAAAGAAAATCTCAATTTTCAGGTTTAAATTTTTTTTAAATCCTGACAAGGTTAGGAGCAATTACCGATACTTCTATTAAATTTTGAGCAAATCAAAATAAATTATATATAATTGGAAAGAGAATCAAATTCTCTATAAATCAGTACTAGATTGAGTTTGATAACTCAAATACTTCTGGAGCAATTGAGCCTCAAAGTTGGATTTTAGTTGAAATTTAGTCAAAAATTTCAAACTCGATTTTCTTAAAAACCGTGAATGCCAGTAACTTCAATTAAGTATACCATTTTGAAGCCCTCATCAAGGGCTACAATCTCAAAAAAAATGGATCTAAAATCTTTGACGGGTTTCCAGAAAATTGAGTTTGAAAATTTTGAAATTAAAATCCAAAGGGGTTGAACGTCCGTGTCCTCTTCTTTTCTAGGGGTTGGTACTTTCTTCTTAAGTTTTGGAACAGTTTAACCCTTTGAAAAAATCGAAATTTTTATTTTTTAGATTTTTTGAATTTTGACTTTTCCAATCGATAGAAAAATACTCTAACATCATTACAAAATCTTGATTTCAATAACACAGAGAAAAGTTTTTAAAAAAATCTCAATTTTTAGGTTTAAATTTATTTTAAATCCTGACAAGGTTAGGAGCAATTGCCAATACTTCCATTAAATTTCAAGCAAATCAAAATAAATTATATATGATTGGAAAGAGTATCAAATTCTCTATAAATCAGTGCTAGATTGAGTTTGATAACTGAAATACTTTTGGAGCTATTGAGCCTCAAAGTTGGATTTTAGTTGAAATTTAGTCAAAAACTTCAAACTCGATTTTCTCAAAAACCGTAAATGCTAGTGACTTCGACTAAGTACCATTTTAGGGCCCTCATCAAGAGCTACAATCTCAAAAAAAAAATGATCCAAAATCCTTGACGGGTTTCCAGAAAATTGAGTTTGAAAATTTTGAAATTAAAATCCAAAGGGGTTTTAACCTTTTGAAAAAATCGAAATTTTTATTTTTCAGATTTTTTGAATTTTGATTTTTCCAATCGATAGAGCGGGTCTAAATTAGTCGAAAAAAAAACTAACATTATTTCAAAATGACAATTTCAAAGGAAGATTTTTTGGATCTAAATTTAAAAAAAAAAATCCTGACATCATGAACAATTGCCCATATCTTCATTGAAATTTGAGCAAACTAAAACTTATCGTATATCATCGAAAAGAGCATTAAATTTTCTATAATTCTGTGCTAAATTGGATTTGGTAGCTCAAGTACTTTTTGATCAATTGAGTCTCAAAGTTGAATTTCACCACAATCACTGATCAATAAATCCCATGTATTCCCAAGAATTACAACTAGTTAGTTATGATTGTTAAATATTTTCCCAGGTGATTTCCATTTTTTTGGGGATTCCTATATCATTCTCAATTGATTACCTGATTTTCTCTTAGCAATCATTTGATTCTCAAAACAGTATCCAATTGTTAAGCTTCTTAAGATATTGTGCAAAATGTGGGAACGATGATCCACATTTCCTCCTGTACCATATGGCATTATCGAATTTCGAATCCGACATTTTGTCTATGGGCCACAATGTCATCTAAGAGTCAAACCCAAATATCATAATCTTTTCCGGAAGTTAACAAAAATTCAACTAATTATGGAGTTTCCTCCCCTACTCAATTCAGAAAATAAAAAAAATTCCCGAAAAATTGAGATTGAAAAACCAGGTACCTACACACGACGAAGGTGACCACACTCGCCCCTACGGACTCGTAATTTTAAAAGACAACTTTTAAGATTTTTGGGATTTTTTTTTTTTAAATCTGGTGGTTTTTCATTGCAATTTCTGGTGAATTTAATTTTTTTGACCTGGCAATAGTGGATATATTTGAGGGTCCCAAGTTGTGTGTGTTTTATTTTTGTATTATTTTATTATTAGTTATTCAATTTAGTAATAGCAATTCTCGACGCAATACAAAATGTCCTCACCTGTCCTATAAAAAAAACTAATATGGTCTTTCCTATGAGTAATAATAATTATTAATAATTAATTGCAGACGTGCCTTAATGCAAGTTTTGCTAATGCATCCATAAACAATCTTTGAATAAATAAAACCCACTATTTGTATAAGGCACACGTCGTCATTTATTGAGATTAGCAAATGACCAAAGTGAAAATAAAACCGCAAATTAAAATACAAATAAAACATAAAAATATGAAACATTTCGACAGATTCTTTTGGGGAATGGGTAACTTTAAAGTGAAATTATACTTTCATATCTGTATTATTTCAAACTTATCGTTTTTGAAGTGAGAGTTAAATTATTATTGAAAGCCGGTCACGTAATATGATTAAAATGGACCCTGCATGTTTGTTTCTGTTACAAGAGGATGCAGAAAATAACATTTTTCTCATAAGAACATAAACTTGGCATTCGATACCGTACCGATTAAATTCTTGAGTGAATGTAATTGTGCGAAGTTCCGACCTGTTGACATAATACGTGCCTAGTTTATTTTCCAATTAAATAACGTTAACACAATTTAAGTCTTCTATTGATGCAGAACATTTAACCGTTAATACAACCGATAGGCTCATTACATGGTTGTTTTGACTAAATCGAGTGCGATGATGTTGTAGCAGCTCTAGGACAAACATTCTCTCGCATAAGCGATAATGGAAAACAGAAAAGTTGTTCGCAAATACCAAGTATATGCTCAAATTAAGCCTACTTAGTGTAGAAAAATGTTTAAATTTATGATTTACTGAAAAGAAATTTTATTGGGCAACAACCTTCTGACCTAAATTGAAACCAAATAAACTGCAAAGACATTAACATCAACACACCCATGCTTTTACCATATAAGAAACAATCTCGCAGCATATATCTAAACAAACCGCTTGTTGAAATAATTCAATTTGTTTGAGCTGTAAAAGAATATTTTTCATGGTTTAGATTCTAAAATATGCATTTATTCTAATCTCAATATGATTTGTCAATGATTAATTCAGATTTTTATGTATTTTTTCCAGGATTCTAGCCATGATGGATGAACAGACCGCTTGGGTACTAGCCCTACAGCTGGTAGCCCTTGTATCAATAGCCAGTGCCATAATGCTTTATTTGCTTTGCAAAATTAAAGGCAACCACGAATCTGGATCGTCCGAATTATTTCCTGGAGGAGGCAAACCGGTGGTTATCACATGTTGTGATAATGCCATGGGATTACAGGTAAAAATGAACTTTGGCTCAAGTGATTCTATACGTTCAAGGATTAAAGAATTCAATGGTTTTTTCTTACAACTCAAGTTGAACCCCAACAAAAATGGAAAAATGGTCCTCCAAAACATGGGAAGTGAAGGTCAATCAAAGTGTGTATTGGTATACCTACTGGTACTAATTACTTACATAGATTCTTTTAAACATGCACATCACCTTGAAACATCCATACTTACATTTTCAATTATCTTAAATCTCAGGTCCGGAACATTGAAAAGCACTTTGTTCAACACATCAGCAAACATGTTTTCACTTTTTCAGTAGGTAATGTAACTGTAGTTTCTCCTTTGTCAAGTTGCATCTCTTATGAAATGTTCTTTGATTTCGAATACCTGTCATTTGTTAAGATTTTTGAATGTCTGTTTTTTCTTTCGTTGACGCTTTCCTTAAGGACAGGGTGACAATTTAAAAACTAGCAATCAGGAATATCTCAATCAAATACACATCGGAAAAACCAAATGTGTTTACTGCCTAACCCCTACCCCTCTTGTCTTAGAGGCTTCTCCCCCTAAAGATTTTTCTAAAATGAGAACCTACCCCGTGTGATACCTTCTTTGAAAGGTTTTTTATTCCTCTTTAGAGGCGTGACCATTTCATTTCAGTTACAATATAGAACACGATCACTTGACTCTTCATTTGGAAAACACAAAAACAATTTTGCCTGACAAACTTGGAGAGCATTCAGCTAGTCCAGTAAAGCCCCATTGAGCTGAATTCACTTGAAACCACGTTGTGTAGCTGACACCCAACAGCAAATCATAATTCAACCATTTCTTGCCGGTATTCGGTAGTGCCCCACTGCTACACGCTTACCTTTAATAGTATAATCGTGTAACAAATGAGATCCTAACCTATTATGGCGTACGGCTTCCTCGGGGCACACCAATTACCAAAAAGAAATAATCAAATCATGATTTGTTGTCCTGGATATCAGTGAAACGCAACTTCAATTGTTAGGAGGACGTTATTGAAAACATCCACAGCCAAATGCTTAAAGTCTAATACCAAGCATGCTCAACTAGAAGTAGCTCACCAAAATTCTGATTTAGAGGGCAGTTATAGGATCACAGCTTAGGTAATTATTATTTTTTTAATAGCTCATTCCTCCACAATAATCTACTGCCGAATGACGAATATAAAAATAGATAAGAAAAGAAAGGTAGGTACAATAATAGCTTGTTTACATTACCCTGGTCCCTTTTTTTCTTACTTCAGTGATGATTTTTCATAATATTGAGATAAACAAATCCTTCCGATGAAAAACCTTTTGAGAAATTTGTGAATGATCATTATTCGAGTGGCAAAAATTGCCAAAATTACTTAGTGCACATGCATCAGATAATATGTACTGGCTATCACCCCAGGGTAATTAGACCAAAAAAAGGGCGATTTGCGGAATGAGGCCGAACAAGCTGAATTTTTGCAGACACCTTCATTTTGATCTTCTAATGAAGTACAAACAAATCGGATATGCCTATCCTTGTGCGTCTTGAGATATCGAAGGTCAAAGGTCACGTTTTTTGCGAAAATCTCGCTTCCAGAGCATCTGACACCAAAGAACCCAAAATAAAACTTACATAAAATAGTATTTTCTACAAAATTGTTCATATACAATTTTTTGTACGACCAACCGTTTTCGAAATATAGTGTGATAAAGCGGAAGCGCGCATTGAAAATAGGCGATACTGTATTATACAGGGTGTCCTTGTTCAACTGGCAAAGAATGCCAGAGTATATAGAGGAACCATAGAGAAGTAATTTGACATAAGACACCGATGGTCGGAAGTGCGTCGTTTCCAAAATACAGGGTGTTGAAATTCAAACAACCCCCATGCATATCATCTAGAGGGGTAATGCTAGGCTGTTCAAATTTTCAGGGATTATTGACGTAGGAATGATATTTAAAAATTCGAATAATGCATCCCCATTTTCTACCTGAAACCACCCCAAAAAAAAATAAAATTTGAAACAAATTGCATTTTTTTTTCAATTTTTTGGAAAAACCCTGTATAATATAGTATCACCCATTTTGAATGCGCGCGCTCCTGCTTTATCACGCTATATTTTGAAAACAGTTGGTCGTACAAAAAAATTTATAGAAACAATTTTGTAGAAAATACTATTTTACGTAAGTTTTGTATTGGGTTCTTCGACGTCAGATGCACTAGAAGCCAGATTTTCGCAAAAAAACGATTTTCGGGACCTCTGACCTTCGATATCTGAAGACGCACAAGGGTAGGCATATTCGATTTTTTTGTGCTTCATTAGAACATCAAAACGAAGGTCTCTGCAAAAATTCAGCTTGTTCGGCCTCATTCCGCAGAGGAAGTCTAATTTCTCTGTTACTCTGGTGCACTTATGAAATGGTATATGCTTGACCTCAACAAATTAGCTTACTTAAAGCTGCCACCACTCGTGTTCGATAGTTTTTAGTTTCCCTATGAACATACTAAAAGTCCCTGTCGCTGTGATTGGTGGAACATCCCCAAATCCAGCCCGCCATCTTGATTTTTCGTTCTTTTATCACTGTAAGGTTTATCAAAAATTGTCAAGAGACGAAAAAGTTTCTAAATATGTTTTTTTTTTGTAAGAGCGATGAAATATAACAACATTCACAAACTGTGGTAGCTCCAAATATTGAAAATACTACACTTACCTATGCCATTTCGGTTAAATATTTTTGTTGATATTTTATATACATATACAGCTCTTTTTACGGATTTGGACACGAACTGCAAGCCGTTGTTTAGTGTTCCAATAGACGAAGTTTTTGTAATAGATGCTTCCATCTATTACAAAAATTAGCTATGTAGCCTCCTACATACTTCACAAAGTCACCTATGCAGGGATTTTTGAGCAATATGAAAAGTTCATCCAGTTTCATTATGGTTCAAATTGTACAGTGATTTTTTTTTATTGATAACCTATTTCACTTATTTAAAGTAGGTACTCCTCAGCGTGTTTAAATCCAACATTCAAAAACGCGCGTGTTTTAAAGTTATCATGACAACATCAACAACCCAAACAAGTCTAAATGTCAACTTTTTAATTATTGATTTGTCAGGAGTAGGTTAGGTACTTGTAGATAACGTAAAATAAAATATTACAAGTGTTAAGCACGAATTTAGCATTCTACAATTATTAGTAATTTATGATAACTGGTCTTTAAAATCCACTTATACTTTAATATACTATTCTTAATATTCTTTAAAAGAAAAATAAAAACCCCAAAGAAAAAAAAAAACCTGAAAAAAAATGCATTGTTTTCAACGAGAATCGAACCCCCATTTCACAAAGGATCGGTGCAACATTTTGGTGAATTTAGCCACACGCGGAATGTCGTTCGGCATGCTCCGGAGCTCCGCCTATCTGCTCCCCAGACTCTTTAAAATATCACTGCTTAAGAGTGTATTACCAAATACAACAATGGTAAGGAAAATAATTTTAATCCTCTAGAATTTGGTTAAAAATGCAAGGTCGCAGGCTAGTTTTCGGAGAGTTACATCCTGGAAATAAGAACTTTTCTTAGGTATCGAACATTTCAGCTAATCTGAAATTTTTGGAGGAACTACGAATGTGTCAAGTAGGGCTCAGATCTATTTTATATCCAGTTCTCTTGAAAATTTTTTAAATTCCTATTTGTTTCCAAGATATTGAAGCAAACTAGGAAAAAGTGCGAAAAATCAAGATGGCGGACCAGATTTTGGGATGTTCCACCACTCACAGCAATGGGGACTTTTGGTATGCTCATAGGGAACCTAAAAGCTATCGAATAATGGTGGTCGCAGCTTCAAGCTAATTTGTTTACCCCTGACCCCTAATTGCTCCTATCATCAGTTAGTTGCATTGGAAAATTTCGATCCAATCCAAAAAGGAAATCTAATTTTTGGCTCTGGACATTTTTTGCAATCTTGACATGCTTATGAATAGTTGCTCATATCTTTCATGATATTTGAGAAAATTGCCTACAAATATACATCACTAGAAAGAGAATTAAATTCTGTATAAGCCATGCAAAATTACTGTCGCTTGTGAAATTATGAGATATTGAACTTCAAAGTTGAAATTTAGTTGGACATCAGATGTCGACTAAATTTCCACTTTAAAGCTCAATATCTCAAAAACTTCACAAAGCGACAGTAATTTTGAAGCTTTTATTGACAGCTACAATTGAAGATAACTTTGTCCCGGGTTACCGAAATATTTATGTTTGAAGATTTGAAAATTAAAATTCAAAAGGGGTACCCTCAAGGCTCAGAATACAAATGTCTGAAATTACCATCCAATCAGCTTACTAACTACTACAATGTACAAACTGCTGACGAAGATACTAACAAATCGCCTGGACAGAAAGTTCTACTTCTACTAAGCAATAGAGCAGGCCGGTTTCAGGAAAGGGTACAGCACAATCGACCATATCCAAGTAGTTCGCACACTAATAGAGAAACGCACGGAATATAACGTGCCTCTCCATATGGTACTCGTTGATTATCAAAAGGCCTTCGACTCTATTGAGATATGGGCAGTGCTGAATGCCGTGAATAGGGCAAGAATTGATTCTAGATACTCGGACTTAATTGAACATATTTATAAAAACGCAACGTTCCAAGTTAACATCAAGAAAGATCTACAAACCGAAAAAATTAACATCCACAGAGGAGTGCGGCAGGGTGACACGATTTCCCCAAAACTTTTCACCCTGGCACTGGAAGACATATTCAAAAACCTGAGGTGGAAACAAAAATTTGTTGACGGAAATTACCTGAATCATTTGCGTTTCGCAGACGACATTATTATTATGAGCCAAGACATAAATGAACCGGAGCAAATGATAAACGAACTTATGCAAGCTTCAGAAAATGTTGGCCTGCAAATGAACTTCCAGAAGACCTAAATCCTCTCTCATGAAAATGTCCGAATAACATTAGAACCAACACTTGGAAACCGTGGAGCAGTACACCTATCTGGGACATAATATCAAATTAGGCAAGGACAACCAAACAGCGGAAGTCACAAGGCGAATCGGCTTGACTTGGGCTGCCTTTGGAAAACTAAACCATATTCTCAGAGACCCTAAAGTCCCAACCTGCCTCAAGAGAAAAGTGTACGATGCGTGCATTCTCCCCGTTGCAACTTATGGCCTAGAGACCACTACTCTCACATAGCGATGCTGGCTATCAGCCTGAGGGATAAAATACATGAACAATTGCTCATATCTTCAATGATATTTGAGAAAATTGACTACAATTATGCATCATTGAAAACAGTATTAAATTCTCTATAAGTTCTTAAAATTGGTTTTTGCTGATTTTGCTTGTGAAGTTTCCGGGATATTGAGCTTGAAAGTTGAAATTTGGTCGACATATTTTGTCCAAAACTTCAAACTCGATTTTCTCAAAAACCCTATACGATAGAGAGTTCAGTAAAGTAAAGTACTTCTACTACATTTTGCATTTCAAAACAGGATCAATGCAGCTTTAAGACCGGAAATATAATGTGAAACAATCCAACTTGAAGGAAAATCTTATTAATTAATAGCTCGCATATACCTAACATTTTCAAACTGATGATAATACGCACATAAGGTTGAATGATATATTTTTTTTCCAGTTGGCAATTCATTTAGCAAATCGCGGATTCCGTGTATTCGCTGGACTAAAAAACGGTTCAACATCTGGATCACCCGACGATTCAGTACCAGGCAAGGTAATAAGGGCATGGCAAAAGTACAGAGAAAGCATTCAAGGACAAGGAAACATTGTACCTTTACATCTAGACGTGACCAGAGAGGATCTTTTGCACGAATCTGTTGATATTATCAGAGCTCATTTGCCTGCTGGAGAAGATGGTAACTTTTCTTTACATGCATTATTTTTTCAACTGATATTATTTATTTTTTTCTTAGGAATTTGGGCTGTGGTTTGTACCAATGGAATAACATATCGTGGTTCTTTAACTCAACAAGATATCGCTCACTGGGACGCCCTATTGAAAACCAACATTATTGGAGTTTTAAGAACTGCTAGAACCTACCAGAGTTTACTAAAAAATTCAAGTGGTAGAATTATTACAATAGGAACTACTGATAATATGGGTGGAGGTTTAGTGGCTTATGCTGCTAGTAGGTAGGTCTAGAATTTTGTTATTTTTCTCTCAATCATGAGATTATTGTTTTAGATTTGCAGTAGAAGGAGCCAGTCAGGCATTAAGAGAGGAACTTTTCTCTGCTGGAATTAAAGTAATAACAGTAAATCCGGTTGGGATATTACCCGAGTTACTTTTCTGTCAACCTAAGTTAGTTAAGTAAGTAAAGCACTATCATTTTTCTAACTTCTGAAAACGATTTATTTTCTTTAGAAAACCTGAAACTGAAGAAGTATGTGTTGAAATAAATGGTTGTTTGGAGTATCAACCTCAAGTTCTTTCCGATAGAGCTATGGAAATCCTGGATATCGCACTAACAAGCAGGGAACCGAAAAACAAGTACAAATTGGAGTACAAGTACAAATGGTCGCGCCAGTTAAATTTGTGTCAAAATATTTAGTACATAAGCAACTTTTTTCTATGAAAATATATTGTACTTTTTAATAATTTAAGTTTATAGTAATATGATTCTGTCAATACATAGTTTTTATTTGAATTTAAAACAATGAAATAAAATACAATAATAAAATATCTAGAGGTGCTAAAAATAAAGATAAAGTGCAAATGTATACAAACAATACTCTAAATACTATTAACCTATTTTAAATTAAGTATCATGGCAAAATAAAATATTAAAAAAATAATTTCCAATAATCCTGAGAAGGTACGATAATTATTTTAAATTTAGGACGAAAGTCTTGGCAGATGCATTGAGGCCATAATTTCAGATCGAACATTATCATCAGAGAAGTATAAGCAACATGAACCTACAACATAGAAAAAACAAATTTACTGAGTTCTAAGGATAGTGTAGATTACAGGATCCTTGATTGGTTATTCTACATAAATAGCATCTGAATTATCAGAATGATAGAAGCACACCAGACACAGATGTTTTGGCCCTAAAAAAACGATGACAACATTAGTAACAAGCCACATTAAGAATATATACTACGAACCTATTGTTAGTTCTTAACCCATAGCCAATAGACCAGATGATTAAAACTCATTGGAAAGCGTTATTAGGCTGTTTTTTTTTGTCAGTAATAATAAATTCAGGTTTGATAAAGTTTTTGTAAAAACAATTATATTTTTTCAACATATTTACAAAAGTCACAGTTACATTGGACGGAACGTGTTGTTTTGGAACAAGGTGCTTATCCTACAATACTTTTAAGTACACTTTACGGTTTTGATAATTATACACTTCAAAAGCCTGGTGAATAATGAAAGGCTAACTAAAATAAACTTGAAGATTAGGAAGGAAGCAATAAAAGGCTTTGTTTTGGTTCAAGAACCATTTAGAATAGCAGATAATAAGTATTAAGTAACTGAACCACATAAATCTGCTATGCAATTTTGCCAATTTCTCTATATTTTACAAAGTAGGTAGGTATAGTTTCAGCTAATCCTTTCAAAAATTATCACATCAGTGGATAATCTCCAAATTCATTTAGTGCCTTAAATTCATTCATAGGCAGAAATAGAACAATAATATCGAGTTAATAAACTAATCATAGGAAAATAAATAAATCACTTAGTGCCGGTACTTTTGTTCTCAGTTTTCGAATTTGGAGGCAGTTGAAAATAATCAGGGGTTTGAATGTGCTCTAACCAGAGATCATACATACAGACCTTGGCCCATGCAAAACCTTGTTAAATTTAACCAAGTATCAAATTCGTTAATCAAGATGGAATGTATTGGCCCTTAATATATCAAGTACGGATTGAGCTCTCAGTTCTAGAGATTTCCAATTAATCAACATTATTTTAAAACATAATCATTTTAACATTGCCTAAAACAATCAACGCTAAAACTCAATAAAAGTTAGTAAAAACGTTACAGTCGAAGCCTTATAAATAAAACATAAATCCGCCACCATTACCAGAAGCTGAAAGGAATGTTGAAGCCTAAAATGTCCTTTAATGAAAGCAATTTTTTATAATAAAAATGTTGTTTTTAAAACAATCATTGCAGATACTTTCTTGTCTTTAAAATTGAGAGAAGTTGATTCATTTTGAATGCTGTTCAATAAAACTTAAATGAGCCTACATTAAATGCTAAGGGATAACCTAATAATGAATACCCTGATATAAGTGAGTACTTAATACTATAATGCCTCGTAATCACATTTTTCAATTTCCTAATTATTCAGTTAGTATCTTTATTAGGAAAAACTAAAAATCATTCCAACATAAATTGAGAGATATCTTATTTACGAACTTAGTTTCTTTCATGATTTTTAAATTCAGTTACAGCATATGACACCCGAAAAGATTAGCCCATCCCCCAGAAGCATTATTGCCATCTCAAGTATGATCGACCACTATGGCTGATCAGGAAGATAGAAGAAATTTCGCATAGTCAACTTGCCTTGCGGTTTACAATGAAGATGGTCCTCGACGAACTGACAGGGACAGGTCAGAGAGGCACAGTGACGTCCGCCAGCAGATGGGGGACTTTGGAGTAGTCCGCGGATACGTTCGCGACCCCATCTAGAAACGTAGCGGAGGTAGAGCAGAGTGGCGCGTTCCTGAAACAAAAAGATATATCAAAAAGAAATTAAATTATTTTTATAGATAAATAAATACAGTTGTTTAGTAAATTAGTACAAGCAAGCTAACATGCAACAATAAATCATTAAAGAAGTGTAAGTAGTGTAAAGTTGCTTTGGTCCAGATAGATTACAATAACACACAGCTTATTGGACTCTATTTGATAAATTTTGTCCTTTGCATGCAAGGCAAGATTATTATTGTTTATCTAACATACATAATTTTTAACCTAGATAAAACATTCAAGACCTGACTGATATGCCTATTGGCAAAATAAAGTTCAAAAAGCTGTGAACTGTTTAAAAAGTGAATATTTCAAGAAGAGTTGCCTTTAAGTTTTAAGAAAACCATCTCATGGTCAAACAAATTCGACTGTTAGAACACATGAACTAATTTGAACAGGACTAATTTTATTTATGTTTTGTCTGGAATGTGCCTATATCTTGTATACATATTTAATTAATTAATTGTCTTAAGATTACTATTCATGTATGTTTTGATTATTAAATTTTTTTATTGCAATTAAATTCCCGACATAGATAAATCAAATATTGTATAAACATTAATAAAAATATTTGTATTAGTATGTTTTTGTCAGTCTGATGATTAGAGTAGTTAAATTTTGGTAATATATTTAACATATGATAATTATTATGGTTCATTAAAACTTTCAGACAACCTTCTAATCCAAACGAAAAATTACTTCTAATAAATCCCCAGACGAGACATAAGCCTAGACCAAATAGGACAACAGTCCCTCTGATCGTCCAACGGGGTAGTTTTGTTTGCCAGAATATCCTCCATATACTGGCAAGGACATAAAGCGCTCTGTATGTGCCTCGGACTAGCTGGATTCCCTAACATTTCGTCGATAGTCCAATCTAATCGTCTCCGAAGGAAATCTTTGCCCCAACGCTGTACATAGCGTAAGTAGAGCTGTTCGGAACGGCCCTACGAAGAAAGATAAAGAAGAGATAGTTTGGTTTTGAGGGAGAAAAATTGGATGTATTTTTTTGGAGTGGTGGGAACAGTAGAGGAAAGTGTATGGATGTTAGTTTCAAAATAAATTTAATGTACATACATAAAGCCTATAATTATTATCCCAGTTTAAAAGAAAACATTAGAAGCAACATTGAGAGAGAAAAAGAAAGAACCACTCCAAAATGATACAATGCCCATCTACTTTCAAATATACCTACTACTCAATACACTTATGTTTGTTTTTAAAATAATACATATAATATGTATAGCTGTTTCAAGATGGATTAGTCACAGTAGATGTTTGAACTAGATTACCAACTTTGGAAACAATGCGAAACATGTAGAAACAATCTAATGGATAAATTCTTACCTGTTTTCTAGATAACCGAGTAGTCCTGCTACCTTGAATCACAATATCATTAGCTGTAATATCCATTCTCTGCTCCCAACCGCTAGCAGGATCTCTTTCCTGTTGCTCAATGGAGGTTTGAAGATGGGCAATACAAGGTGCAGAGTCCATGTAAATGAAGCAAAGGTTCACTTTGTGACAGGAAATTTTACCACGGTCGTCTAGCGCCAATGCGATTTTGTGACGGAGAAGTTGTTTGTTGACGTTTGCCAAACATCTAGAATATTACCATTTTGATTATTATATTATATGAATAATGGATACATGCCTTTCGAGATTCCTTTGAAGTTTAAACTTAATATACATTGATAAAAATATAGCTGCGGCATTAAGTACAAGCCATCCAATGCCCAATCCAAACAGGGTGAGTCCATTGGTTCCGGAAAATAGTAAACTTAACAATACAATAAAGGCTAGGGTAATCCATATCACAAGTACTCGTTTGTAGCAAACGTTATACATAGTAAATCTGACGTCGTTTACTAGTAATTCCATAGCTTGGACATATTCTTCTACGGTGAGCTGAAAAAAAAAAATCCAAATTATGATAATGTAAATTTCACATTGTTGAAAATCTTGCCCATATTTGTAAATTTTGCAGATTTGTTAAAAATATTCAAGTGTTTCAACAGAAATTTCAAATAAATATGTAACAATATGTTCCATGTATCAATATTATATATTTATAATTATTGAAGATCTCATGTAATAATATGGGAGGCAATGACACATTTTTCTATCATCAGAATATTGAAGCTAATATAATATAACATCTAATGTATAGGTATATGGTTTCTATATGTATAAATAGTAGCCTTAATAAAAACTGTCACTGTATTCTGTACTATTATTAAGTAAGCAGAATAAACTTTTTAATTTATCTAGGATTTCGCCGATCTGATTGTCAACAACGTAATTATTATATTAGTCACAGGTCAATTGTTTTCATTTATGGCACGTATTATACTTCGCATTACTATTAGCGATAATTTATTATTCATTTCCTCGATAACGTAGAACAAACATCCGTTTATTAAGAGTTTTTACTTAATTGTCATAGATGGGTAGGTAAATTTATATACGCAGGAGGATAATTATTAATGGGAGGTTATGCAATGGGAACTCTAGAAATCATCAAAACAACTACAAATACCGTAATTTACTAATTTACCCAAACCATTTTGACTTGACTATAGAATCCTGATAAAATATTGAGTATTGGGCAGCTATATTTTATCAGTTTTTATTTGTTTTATATTACTAACTATTTTTGTCATGGATGAATGCAGAGTGTGTCCTCAGAATCGTAGTTTAGCTGAGAACAAGTCGCTTTATCAATGGATACTTTTGATTCCGTGACAGAAGTTTCTCTGAAATTGAATTATCTTAAGTTTATACAAAGCTTTCCCTATCGTTTAGATAGGAGTATTGTTTCAAAAAAATGGAAATCAGTTATCTAGAGATGTGACCTCTTTCTTTTACTTCTACCTTTACCTTTGAAGGAAATACTTCACTTTTATAAATACGGCCTGGATGACCTTATGTGTATGGAATGATACGAATTTGGTTGAGGCTCCAAGGTTTCCAAAACGTCTTGATAATTTTTCAACTAGCAATAGGAAAAACAAATAAAAAGATTATGGTTTAATAAGACTTACAGAAAAATAAGTAAAACCCAAATACAAAATTCTATTTACGTAAATGGAGATTGTACCTGATCCTTGAAAGCAATTATTATTGATCAATTCTTACAATAGGTACCTACTCAATAAATCTAGTAACAACCAATACATAATAATATTGAGAAAGCCACCATCTTATTTAATAAGTTTTCTAAAGTATTCACAATGGAGGCAATAATTCCTGAAGATCTCACAACCGGACAAAATCATTACATCAAAAAACTCCTATTGATGTTATTTGAATTTGGTTAAAGCATTCGACCGAGTCCCAAGTCAGAGGTTTCTGCTAAAACTGGATCATTTTGGTGTTGCTGCTTTAGATCAAAGACTATCTCACGAACAGAGAGTACAAAGTCAGAGTTGGCGACTCATATTCTGAACTCTATCCAGTACAAAGTACCCCAAGGCTCGGTACTTGCACCTCTGTTGTTTGTAATGTAGACTATAGATATTCTCAACCTAATAATATCAACATGTGCAGCGTTCGATGACGACATAAAAACTTATGGTCCTGCCAACAATGATTTAAACCAAACTGAGAAGTGGTGTGGGGACTGACAACTGCCCCTTAATGTGGAATAATGTATAGTACTTAGGTACTCTATCTTGGGAAAAATTAACCAGAAAATGAATACACCATCAACGGGTCAGTACTGGTCAATGTTCAGCAATACAATGAACACTTGGAGTTCTAATAACCAAATACTTGGTCAGCACATGTAATAACAATATGTAAAAAAGCCAACAGCAAGTTATTCCTCCTAGAGAAGGTCTTCCCAAGAAACGTTTTCAAAACTGTACAACATATACTGCAGGCCTTGCAACTTGGTAGAAGAAGACCCACATGAGGAAAGACTCAAACAACAAAAATTACTGAGTTTCCAAAATAGAAGAACAAAGAGTAGATCTTATCTTCACCTACCAAACATTACACAACAACCGATACAACAACATTCGAACAGTTAGACACCCCTATGTCTTGAACTCTGGGGTCACAGACTCAAACATAAAAAAATAAATCACATCACAGTATGTATGGAGAACTTTCTACCAAATAGAGTATTTGCTCTCGGGAATCAACTCCCAGCTGAAACAGTTAGTGCTACTTCAGTGTCAGTATTCAAGACAAAACTTGATAGTCAGTTCACATAGTGCTTAATCCAGAGCAAATATTCAATAACTAACAGTTGATAAGTAACAGTGCAAAAATGGGCTTATAGGTCTCACCTCAGTCCATATCGACTAGATAGTAATAGTGTTATTGAGGATTTTTAAAAATCCCAAAAACTGTAAATTGAGTCATGACTTTGTTTCATTACCTACCTAATTAGGAAGGTGAACATTTTTGGAAAACTATCTATTACTGCCTGTATGTCATGAAGATTTTATTTCACAACAAAAGTAAACTTTGCTGCCTTTCCACATTATCATAATTTTCCCATTTAATCACATCTCTATGTTATGGTATCTATTATTGTAGGTACCTACCGAGGGGTTTTTTACCTTGTTAATCGATGTACAAATCACTGGTTAATATATGTCAATACCAGGTAAATACTATGTCAATAGTGTCATTACTATGCAATACCTACTTCCTACTTGTTAATTATGTAGGTAATATATATGTCAATACTTTTAGATATCTAAGCAATATATGGTAATGTCATTGGTTGATACCCATTAATAACATATAAATACCTGTGGATATGTCAATACCTAGAATTCTGGAAAGACAAATATTTGATTTTAGTCTGTCAATAGCATGGCAGTATCTAGTAATATGTGATAATACTAGGGAAATACCTGACAATATGTGGCAATATTTTGTTAATACATGGAAATAGTTGGCAATAACTTGTTATTAGGTACATAAAAATATCTGTTAATACATGGAAATATCTCAGTTAGTACTGTTAATCGGTGTACAAATTTTGTTAGGTGGAAAACCCCTCCATACCTAGTTCCTAATTTATTAAATATTACGGTTTCAATATTTCAAATATAGTATTAAGTACAATATTCACAGCACTTTTATGTACTTGAAATAGTTCACTTAAATACTTTAAGTAACTACTTATGAAAACTACTCATTAGATTCAAATTTTCAGTAGATTTTCATGTAGTAAGTAGTACCTACCTATACATACTTGAAGTAAATTGCTAATTTTAGATACGTACCAGTACAAATTGTATTGATTATTTTTTGTTAAGTAGGTAGGTCCTCCATATAAAAGTACATACTTAAATAAAATACTTAAGTATCAAATGTGGGTACCTACTGAATATTTTACTTTAAGTATATTTTGGGTATCACAGTACCCCAGAGCTCTGATTAGTGATAAAGTTCACTTCACAAGCTAACAGTGAATCTAGTAATGCAAAAAATCCAAATGAGCAAGATACAACTATTTTAAGCCTTCATCAAAGTCTGGCAACAAGATACACTTGAAAATACATTTTTAAATCCTAAATAAATCATGATTAGTAACAAGTCACAATATTGGTTAGAATTAAAGTCTCTATTCTTGACTTACAGTTAGTCCTTGAGCCATTAACTCTTCAGGTACTAATTCTGGACGGAATACTGCGGGTGTGATCCATGGAAATCGAGCATTTACAGGCAATAGAGTAACAATAATATCACCATTAGCTGAAAAAAAAAACAAACTTATTATTATTAGTACTTATATAATTCCATTAAAACTGCAAATTCCCAGTACCTAGTTGCAATAAATTAGAGAATAATAATTTTCCTTATTCAGCATTTACAAAGCTGTAGTATCTTAGAAACTATCACATTTGATGGGAACTAACATGTCTACTCTTAAAAAATTATATTTAGTTATTTGAAAAATAGCCTCTGGTATATATGAAGGGCGACCAGACTCAGACTGAGCTTATGAAATAAAATATACTCAAGTACCTACCAGGTGTCAAGTTATAAAGTACCACCACCTGTAAGTTTTTCATGTACAATCAAACATAAAAAAGTTACAGGTGGTGATACTTTATAACTTGACACCCTGAGGTAGGTATACTCCTAATTCTTGAACAGAAATATCAACTTACAAAATCCTTGTCTTATGGGTTCCACAGTAGCCACAGGTAATTCAACATTTCTCAACGGTTTCTGATCCAAACCAGCAACATGATTATTCATACTCTCGTTCATTGATCGACTGAGACTCCTCTCCAAAGTAACTTGCACACTCTCAGTAGACAAAACAGCAGGAGAATCATCCTGAGGCGGTGGTTCCTTGATTATTTTCTGCGGCATTTTCTGAGCATTTTCAAAGGTTTGCGGCTTATTCTGAGAATGTTTAGGTGTTTGCGGTGGCTTTTCGAGCTTAATCTGATGATTCTCAGATTTCTCTGGAGTACTGGTCAACACAGGTTTTGGTTCACTGTCTTCCTCGAATTTAACCCAACTTTTTGTCGGAGGCTCCGCAACTGGGGCCACAGTTTGACCATGGCCTTCTTCAATGTTTTTCGGCGATTCTTCACTCATTTTGTAACTTTTGTTTACAGGTAAGAAATAAGGCACATTATTATTAATTAAAACACAAAAATTAATGAATATCTGCGGCTTAATTAGTGGAAATTAATTAAAAACATACTTCAATTAAAAACTGAATGGGACTCACTGCGAGGTAGTAGTCGCATGTCGAAATTTTAGCCCCACTACTTAATTTTTAATGATTGATAAAAGTTGCGTGCACAGGTGAGCTGGCAATAATTTCCATTTTATTGTACAATCGAAAAATGTTTCCTCAGGCCTTCGAGTCAGCTGACACACCTGAAATTCAAAACAAAACACACCTGCAATACCAATGCCTGCGTTTAATTAACGAGCACAGATCCGTACCTACCTACCACTACCATCTACCAAACCCTATATTGATGCTTACAAGGTGGTCAACATCACACAGTCTGTACAATATTATTTATAATATTTTTGGTACTTTTCTATACTAGATAATAGATCAAAGTATGTATGTTTATGGCAAGTTTAAGCCAATTCTAAGGATGATGTGAGATTTTCTATTTCCCATATGCAAATACGATGTCACAAAATTTAACCAAGAACCCAATTCCTCTGTATAAATAACGCATTCACAGTAGGGTTGCCAGACGTCCCGATTTTGACGGGACAGTCCCAATATTGGAGATTTTGTCCCGTGTCCCGATGGACTATACGTCAGGACGCTAAATGTCCCGATTTCACGGAATTTTTTAAAAAGTTGGACAAAATTAAAGTGCCTACTTATAAGACACTTATTTTTGAATTGTACTTGTTAATTATCTATTACTAGTATTCATAATAATTATCAAGATTCTTTTGGTTTCGACTATAAGAATAAACTAATGGATTTTATGCATTTTAGGGATTAAAAGTACCCCTTTAATCCCTGTTTTAAGGGGGTGAAGTGGGTCTTTCAATCCCCGTGATTAAATTTCCCTTCATATCAAATCAAATCTAAATAAGCTTTATTGTCCAAAAAAACATTGTTTTTTATTGGCAATTTCCCAAGGGATTAAATTTTTACTTTATTTCCCGGGGATTAAATGGAACAGTACATAAAATAGTGTATTACACCTCAGGACTAAACTGCTTTTTGATCCCTCGACAAATAGCCCTCCTATATAAACTTTTTGTCTCGGGATTAAAAGTAGATACCACTTTAGTCCCTAGGTGAATAATGTACCATTATTATTTTGCGTTATTTTTTATTTTTAAATTGTGTTGGAAGTTTTATTGTTCAGTCACATTTTATTTCCTTTATATTAAATTAGGTATTCCTTCAAAAAAAAAAGTGTCCCGATTTTTATTGAAAGTCCCGATTTTTTAACAGATTTTTGATTGGTATACCCGATTTGTAGATATTCCAATCTGGCAACCCTAATTCACAGATCTACAGATGTCCCAAGTTAGAAATAGTACCTAGTAGGTACCTACTCCCATTGGTGAAGGTTTCCTGCAAAAATGCAGTGCTTACCCTACATACATCTACTTACTCCTGCTTCTTTTAGGCTGTTATCATCCATCTTTGGATATTTTGAGTCACATTTCTCCTGCAGTGAGTCTGAGGTTATCAATACCAGTACCATCTGTATTCTGCCTCTTGATCAAATCAATATGATCTCGGTATTATAGTTCTGAGTTCCATTTGTGGTCTTTCTATTTTGCAAAGTGCCCTGCCAAAATCCTTGCTGAATGGGTGGCTTTCGATGTCGTACTTCCTCTCACCTGGATCTCTTTCTTATCAAAGTGTTTCTTTTTTTGTCAGAGAAGTCTTCTTATCTTCGGTATTATTCTTAGATAGCTAACCCATGTGTATTATGATGGTCAAAAATTCTACTTGTTAGGTGAAGTTGAATCTTTTGTACCATGAAAGTTTGCCAAAACCTCGATACCAGCATTACTTCGTAAGTACTGTTTGAGTGCTTTTATCAAGTCTTAGAAATTCTGTCCTAGGTATTTGATGCCTTTTTCCTTCGATTGAGAATTTTCTTTCGTTCTTCGGCGTTATTTCTCATCACTTTTGTGTTTCCAAAATTCATTGTCCCGTATTTTCAAATGCTGTGTTATGATCCAAAATTGTTCAAAAGCAGGAGTAATGTCGTTGACCAACTGTAGAAGATTACCCGTTCGTCCTGTATGCCAGTCTGATGTTTAGAGTTTCTTGAAAACATCCTCCATTGCCAACCTGGAATGTTTTGCTGCTGACTTCTCTAATCTCTTCTGATTGTAATAGTATTAGTAGTGTTATGTTCCAGCGGTACCTGTATTCTTTCAAATGTTATGGAAAAATAATAGTCTGTATTGTGAGTTGATAGCTCAATGCCATCGCATAGCTTCTCATAGACCACGGAATAAGCGACACAAACTGTTTTTATAACGTTGGCTTTTTCTATGGGGATTTATAGGGTGAGGAAATCAACAGTAATTATAAAATCATGGCAGAATAAAGCCTTTTCAATAGGTTGGTATAGATGTCCATTTTGGGTGATAAGCGATTGGTGATGATTTTCATTATACCTAACATCTTTCATAATTGGAATAATAACGAGATGGGACCGGTAGGTATAGGTTCTGATGTCAGTCCTATCCCCTTTCCTGAATAGCAGAACTTTGTTCAGACATTGTTTAGACATATAGCTTGAATATGCAGGGTCCCAACTATTTCATAGGGACAGTATTGCTATCTGAGGAACGGTTAAAAGTACGAGGGCGTTTAAATTAGAAAAAAGATGCCATTTTTGAAGATTATTAAAAATATATTTGCGTTGTTGCCAAATTTCTAGTAGTTTCAGAAATACAGGGCGATTTTTGAAAATTTGCTAAAACAATTTTATCAAATATTTTAAAATCTATTGATTAGAGACATAGTTCAAATTCAAAAGCATAATATTTTTAACATTCTTCAAAAATGGTAACTTTTTCTAATTTAAATGCCCTCGTAACTTCAACCGTTCTCGAGATAGCAATCAATGCTGTCCCTATGAAATAGTTGGAACCCTGTATAATAAGTTATTGTTCAAGTACAAATAAATGGATTATTGCGGAACTTATAGGTGGACCTCTGTGGGACGAGCGCAGCGAGTCCCGCAGCTATCTACTCACCAATATACTGTTAAACTATTCAAATAAGACACTCACCTGAAACTTGTAGTTTTTGAACTAATGAGAATAACTGACATTTGAATGAGTCAGGTTAGTATCGTATTTGAACAACGTATTAATGAATAGATGACTGTGGAACTCGCTGCGCTCGTCCCGCAGAGGTCCACCCATAAGTTCCGCAACAATCCACTCGTTTGCATTTGAATAACTTGTCACATTATGTTACTAGTTTGGTAAAGTAACATTACTAATTCCTGTTGAAAGGCAAATTGACAAAAAGTGGATAATCTTACAAATTCTGACTTTATATAATAAGTTATTATTCAAGTACAAATAGCAATATGTTGTTTAATTACGATACTAACCTGACTCACTCAAATGTGAGTTATTCTCATTAGTTTAAAAACTACAAGTTTCAGGTGAATATCTTACTTGAACAGTTCAAAAGTATATTGATATATATCAAAATTTAGCAACAACGAAAATATATTGTCACAAAGCGTCTCAACTTCGCTATGTAGCTCGACTATTCACCCTGAAAAGCAGAACGGGAAGGGAGGAGTAACAGAGAAACACCAGAACAGTTTAAGATAGCTCATATATATTGTGATTTTACAGGACGGAGATTACGAAAGCATGAATATTTAATTGTTACCAAATCATCATCATCTTGGACCAGATAAACGTCCCTTCGGGTGGTAAGGCACAAAAGGGCGGACAGTCGACACGTCAGGTATACCCCTGCAATGCTAAACAACCAAACCAGCACTACAGGAAAATCTAGAAAGCCTTTTCACTGTAGGTCGAAACCTGGGTCGTCAGAGAATATCTGCCCTGATAGAGATACGATAACGTATTAACTTTATCAGTCCAGATAGCTCCCCAACTTTGAGTCGTCTCTAAACACCTACTGATTGCAGCGAAGCGCTGAGACACGACTGATTTGCCATAGTGTGGCTAGTGACTTTTATATCCCATTTTTGCTGACTATAATTAGGTCAGCTATTTGTTGTAGCCCGTGGGCTGGTGTATCTAATTTGACTGTAGCCCATGGTCCTATGGTTGACAATATTTTTGATAACCTTCGGAAATGGCTCTTCTTTCAGAACTTCTGCTGCTACTCCATTTTCTCCTGGTGATAATATGTTAATGTTTTTCTGATTTTTATAACTGCCTTCTTGATATCAAATTCTTGTGGTATATTTCCCGAATCGACATTCCTATTTTTCGATGGTTATTGATTTATGTCTTCACTTTGGAATTTTTTTGAAAACTAAATGGAGCTAGAGCGATTATATTCTTGTTCATTTCTTCTGCTTCATCTTCAGTTTTTATGTATTTTTCGTTATACCTAGTTTAGGTTTTAACCAATTATGTCTTTATTCTCTTCCATGATTATCATTGCTTATTTTTCTGTTATCTATAGTTGTTTGTATTGTTTCTATTGATTTGTGTTTTATCTATATTCCGTCGTTTTCAATTTGTTTCTTCAACTATCTTGAACGGGTCTAGAGCTGATGCAAATCAGAACTGAAACAAACAAGACGAAAATATCTTTCTATCGCTCCACTACTGGCTTGTTTGATATGAAGCAGTTACCGTAGTGTCGGTATACTTTGCCACGGTTTTCAGACCTTTTCTCTGATATTTTTTTAACCGATATAGCAATTTGTACAGACTATGTATAAATTCCAAGTTCTGGCTATAGATACCTGTAAACACAAACAATTAGAAAGCACTGCTTCTATTTATTTTTTTTGTTAAAAATCTGGCAAAGTCTCCTGCAAATTGGTGACACTTTGCCAACGCGTTTAAAACCACCTAAATCTAAATGTAAGACTATTATATGGGTTAGTTTGCCTTCAAATATGATTTTAAAAAAGGTACCATATTTTTTTTTCATTGTTGGAAGCAAAAAGATACGATTTAATATCAAAATATCAGAATCACTTAAGTCATTGCTTAAAATATTTCGCACTGCTTCTTTTACAGTATCTTCATTATAGTTTTTGTAGTGCCGGCTGCCTATTTTTTTTTTGTAGATTCGACCCATATTTTGATTCAAAAAACCGAAAACCGTAAGAAATATATAAGGCAAAGACACCTACGAGTGGCTTGCAAGGTCACACTTTTTTTTAAATAAATTAAAATCTCAAAAACCATTATTTTTTAATACTTCAAAATTTCAAAATCATCAGCCATTGAAGCGTATATTTTGGCAATCGCAAGTCTGACTATTTGCAATAAGTTAACCACTTTTTGTTTAATAGTTCCCACAACTTTCGCTAGGCTTCTGCTATATTGGAGTTACAAAAAATATTGTTACAAAAAAAAAAATCAACTCTGGCAAAGTCACCTTGGATGGCAAAGTATACCGACACTACGGTACAAAAGAAGTGATATCTTTGTCCTTTTTACAACTGATGGAGTTTCTTTACAATAAATTCCTTAAGAATATGAAGATTTTCAATGTACGTACCTATTTATCCTCTAAAATATTTATGCAATGATAACTACCTATAACAAAAATTTTCTCTATTCCTATTACAACGAAAAAATAGGTCTTTTTGCCAATGGGTGAATGGTAAATGCTTCAAGTATTTATAAACATGCTTGAAGATTTATACTACACTAACGAAGCATTTACTACTTTCTGTAGACTCCGTAGCATATTATGCTATTTACTACGGAGATGTAAATACTAACTTCAAACATGTTGTAAATACATGAAGCATTAGCATATATAGTATTTTTAATACCTATTTAGAAGTACCTGTCGTTTTAGTGACAAAACGTATGTCGTTTCTTGACTCACAAATAAAATTAGGTTCGGAATTTCCTATTTGTAGATGAAGTTGACGTATTAACAATCGACATTCGTTTTTGTTGGTAATTTTTTGTTTCATCTGATTCGTGATTGATAAATAAGGATGGGGTTATTCTAAATAGGTATTACAAATACTATACTACTTTTCATGTATTCCACCACCCATTGTCCTTCTCGACCCGATCTGCTTTTAACAAAAGTACCTATTACCTATCTGAGTACAAGTCCCTACATATAACCTGAACTTTTTTATTTGGCAGCTAAGTAGTCCTAGTCCTTCTTATTGGAAAATGACGAAGCACAATAGTCCTTATTAAATAGTCCCCGGTCTTAAGTTCTTAAATGTACGATCCATATTTGATTGGACGAGGGGCATTCTGTTCAATTTCCAAGGACGACCGGATGTCAAATAAAATTGTTAAGAGCATGACTTTACACAGAGCTGGGCAAGCTACTTGAAAAAAGTAGCTAGCTACAAGTTACAAGCTAGGTACTTTTTTAAAAGTTATATTAATAAAAACTAAAAAACGTGCACAATCGCCGCACCATCAATGTAACTTACCTAATTTAATTTCATTATATCGGGTCTTCAAAAAAAAAAAACCAATCCAAGATTTATTTGCTTACGAAAACGTACGTCGCATTATTGTTTCTTTATTGGTCAGGATTTTTGACATGACATTTTGACATTTAAGTTCATTGACAAAATTAAAGAAAAATATTGCTAAGACATACGTTTTGAAAGTCATAGCAATCTTAGATTGGTTTTTTTTTTGAAGACCCGATATCATCATACGAAAATAAAATTTTAATTTTCTCTAGGAACTGCAGTTTTCATATTTTTGACAAAAACCACTGGACATTTATTAAGTTCACTTTGATCACAGTGATCTGCGAATGCGAGAATAAAACAGAACACATAGGACATAGGTACAGAGTACAGAGATAAGTTAAAACTAGTCTAAACAATGCAGGCTAAGATTTTTCCGAAAAAATTATAATTGTAGCTTGAGCTTAAGTAGCTTGTTTTAGTAGCTAGCTACTTTTCACAGTATAGCTTATTATGAAAACATGGAACACATTGCCAAAAGCTACAGCTACAAGCTACTTTTTTCAAAAAATAGCTTGAATAAGTTATTAGCTACCAAAAAAGTAGCTAAGTTAGTTAACTACTTGGTATCTAGCTATTGCCCAGCTCTGACTTTACATGGCATGCTTTGTGTTAAACTACGCTGCAAATACAGTCGTAAGAAAGCATTGATTTCCGCAAAACGAAAATAAACAAATTTATTTTTCTCACCCTGTATAAGCAGGTAATACAATAAAAATGCGCAGACTTACAATTCTACAATCAATTTAAAAGTTTTCAATTACGTCCCTGTCGTCCAATGCAAGGCAGGTATCTACCTTTCCTCGGATATATTATCAGGTATAGGTAACTGGTTGGGTTGGACATAGAGGGCTATGGTAGTTTTAATTTCTAGAAAGTAAGTGGTTTAACGTCCTTGACTATAACATTAATATTGTTGATTGATGTTTTATTTTGAATTAAACTTGCTTTTTCCAGTAAGTAGGCATAGGCAGTAGGGAATTTTTAGTTTTCAAGTAATTTCACTAGAAAATATGAAATTCTTGTTAAATAGATACCTATCTCGTTTTTACGTTGGTGATTTAAATGAAATGGAAAAACCCAGAGAGCAAACAAAGTCTTAAAGACGTCTTTTTTAGGTCTGCATTGCATCTGAAGACCAAAAAAAAAAAACGTCTAGAAGACGAGTATAGGATGTTGTAAATTCACATCTTAATAAAGACAACTGATCCACACTATTTGGTACAACCGGGCTTAGAAGTGAATAATAGTCTATACGTTTGTATGCAGACGTTTGAGATATGTGGGGTTTTGTGAACATACGACGCCTTTAAGATGCCTTGAACACGTAAACCAAATGTCTAAAAAACATCTTGAATGTTGTTTTTGGATACCGTAGGGAAGTTTTTAAGATGTCTACAAAAACTTGTCACATAATTCTAGAATGTTGTCGTAGGACATTCAAAAACCGATTCACGATTTTCAAAAGCATTTTAGAACAATTCAGAAGTTTGAAATCCATTTTAGGACGCTCCAAAACAGTCAAATAACACTCTGAAATCTCCAGAAACGTTTTGAATAGCGTCAGAGAATCTGTCAGAAGACGTTCAAGAGCGAATTCAAATTGCTGTAGAACTTTGAACCTTTAATAAGTACCTATCCAAAACAGTTCATCGCCGAATTATAATTTTCAGGAGCATCTTGAAACAATTCAGAAACATCAGAATTATTTCGGAACAATTAGGATTCAATTTAGAACTGGTAACCCTATAGAACTCTTTTGAACCAATTTAGAACGCTTTGGAGCAAGTTTGCTCAGTATTTAGGTACTTATAAAGTTTTACATCAATTATTTGAAGCCGCTGAACTTTGGCTGAACTCAGCAATGATAAAATATTAGTCCTGAAAACGTCTTCAGGCAGACGTCTGAAAGACGTTGGGTTTTGTAACATACGACTTCCTCAAGATGTTTTTAAGACGCCTTGAACACGTAAGCAGACGTATTTGAATGTTGTCTGCGGACATCTTAGGGACGCCTTTAAGATGTTTCTATGCTGTCTATGGGATATGAATTTAAACCTATGATAATACTTTTATAACTAGGTTAAAGTCGTGCACATTTTTTATACAGGGTGTTCCACTAAGGTCGGCGAGGTACGATATTAGGAAAATACCTTACGCCGTACCTCGTCGACTTTAGTTGGACATGTAGTATAATTTGTAGATTAACTTAGGTAGGACCTTATGCATGATACACATGTTGACAAAATATTTAAAAGTAGGTAGGTACCTGATACTTAGGTCACCTTGTAACTTTGAATTAAAAGTGAAAGTCGATGTGTTAGAGGATTTCCTCCGAAAATCAATTAAATAGCCAAATAACTGTGTAAGTACGAGCTTATGCAAAATACATAATATGTCGACAAAATATCTTCTATCGTAAAGGCTATTAATATCTAAAATGTTCATAATATGATGATTGTTGTTTAGGGAAACTCGTAATTGAAATAGAGCACTTTCCTTTCAAAGAAATTTATTTTCAATGCCGTCCAGATCAAAAGGAGATTAAATGGGACACGGGGCATCAGATACTCCAGAATCCAGGACGGACGAAGGAAAGACAAAGTTGTATGGAATATAACGCCTATAGATCCTTCTCTTGTTGAACCTCTTTGTTAATGAAATGGGTTTCTAATTTTGGCAAATGTGATAGGTACATCGACATTTGACTATTTTTACAAAAGAATGTGTTTCTGAAGTAAATTTTCATTACAAGTAGGTAAGTAGGTACCTGAAAATTTGAATAAAGTATTCATAAAATATTCTTAGTAATAACCCTTCGTATGTTCAAATTTTATAGGTACCTAGGTACCATACCCACTAAAATATCCTTCTCTTTTCTTAATAAAATTGGCACAATAACCAGGTAAATAAACTTAAAGGCAAAAAATAATTAATGCATGTAGGTAAAGGACCTATCTTAGTTTCAAAATATAGTATCTTGTTGGTGTTTGTGTGAATCAATACTTAGGATCTATATAGTGATACAGAAGTCGATATAACATTTTGAAAAATGGATAAAATACGGGTAAATTTTTCTTTATTTAATTAAGTTGGAAATTGAAGCTCATTTATATACTTTGTAACTAATTTTGCTATTTTGAATAATTAGACAAACTGTGCTTTGAAGTACTTACACAAGTTTGCATAACTTCTATTTATTTATTTTCTAAATAAATAAGTTACAACTTCCCTAATAAGTTTACAAGGTAATTGAAATAATGCTTTTCCACTACCGGAAGTGCCTGATGAAAAGTTTCGTTTTAATAAGTAGAAATATTTTCTTTTCAGTTACACAATCAAATTCTGCTGTGTCTATTTGTTGTCAGAGTTTCTGCTTCGTGTGGAACAATTCCCGTATGCCCAACACCTTCTGTTTTAACCACCACAACTAAAAATTCCATAAAGGAAGAATTATCACATTTATTTGATGTCAAAAGTAAAAATTCACATAAAAACCCAAAAAACAAAATAATGAAATATAGCACTAAATTTATGTTGGACTTGTATGCTGCTCTCAATGAAGAAGATAACCAAACTAGTAACAGAGTAAGAAGACAAACATTCGCCTCTCTACATAGATTAAGACAAGACGAAATAGTCAAAGGCAGAATTAGTGACGTAATATTGTCCATGACTTGTGTAAATAGAAAATCTGATGGTGTTGGGCAACGACAAAAACTTGCCTTTTCAATGGAAAGTGTGCCAAAATCCGCAAGACTTGTAGGAGCAGAATTGAAGTTCTACCAAGATGGAAAACTAGCCCGGAAACTGCCTTTTAATATTTATAAAATATCTGTATTCAAACTCCTTCAACTTACTCCCAAGCTGATTAAAATGAAAAAAGTAGGAGAAAAATTGACTTCAACTGACTACACTGGATGGCTATCCATGGACATCTCCTATTTATTTCAAACATGGTTGGAATATCCTCAAGAACTGCAAGAAATCTACATTTCAGCCCAGCCTTTCACAATAACCGACGAAAAAGAAATACATCCAGCAACAATTGGAATAACCTTCCAAAACGAACTATTAGAAAATGAACCTTTCATTGTCGCCTTTTCTCAAGCCAACAACAGGGTCGTATCACGCCTTACAAGAAACGCCAATTCTTTACAATCCAAACGCCCGGATCTACCAGACATTTTGTCAAACAACGACAAATGCGAAATGTACACATTGAAAATATCTTTCAACGATTTGGGATGGAGCGATTGGGTCATAGCGCCAGCAGGATACACTACTGCATTTTGCCAAGGACCATGTAATTTTCCCATGAAGATGCCGCTAAAAGTTACGCACCATGCTATTGTTCAAAGTTTGATGCATCTGAAAAATCCGAAGAAAATTCCCCAGCCGAAATGTTCGCCTATGGAAACCAGTCATTTGTCGGTGTTGTTTAAACAAAAAGAAAATACGATTTTGAAGAAATATAAAAATATGATTATTAGAAGTTGTGGGTGCCAATAAAATATTATGATGGTATTTTTGTTTATTATTGTTTTTCCAAAGTCATTTAAGAAGTCCAGCATTCTTATGGAACACATTGCGAATTTATCAGTTTGCCATTTGGATTTATGAAGGTTTGGAAGTTTTCTAATAAATCTCTATTTCATTCAGGAAATGAATAACATATTAAAATTGAGGGTGAAATTTACAATTTCTTCTCATTGAGCTCTAGTAAAGGTCCCAAGGGAAAACTATAGAAACGTAAACTGTAGCCTCAAAGCGTCTATATCCGAAAACCAATTTGTTATTTCCAAAATAATTGGACCAAGTCAGTTTCAATTTTGGGATATTTTTTCTTTAACCATCGAATCCTGAAATGTTGGTCTGGACGGACGATGCATTTATCCCATGAATATTTCATGTAAATATTTATATTCGTCTAAAGTGTTTCAGATTTTTTAGTAAAGAAAAACATATTCGAATTGTTACAAAATGAAGGCCATTGTTCATAAAATTTAATTAAATTGTTACGTATCATTAAAAAAATTAATTGGTATTGTTTTAACGTTATAAAATTTAATTAAAACATCTATTTTCTCTTATATCGTAGTTATTTTTTTCGGAATCTTTTTAACGTGAGTAGGTACGAAACGAAAATGTGCAAAACTTGGATCTTATTTTTGCTTACTCTAACCTTAGCCACCTACAGTATAGCAGGTATGAAAATTGATGTATTAGGTATTAAATTATTTTTCGGAAAAATCCCCGGAAAAGTTGGTTTTTGAAGTATACAGCATATTCATGTAAAAGCTTCGATATTATAAAGCCAACTGTTATATGAAAAATTCACAGAATTCTACACTTTACCACAAAGTGAAAATCAAACTGAAAAATAATATATAATATTTTATATGTTTGTTCACCTAATTCACATAGTTAGTAGGTATGTGATATACAATTCAAATATACAGGGTGAATTAGTAATATTTATTCATCGGATTGTCAGGTAAGAATTCAAAACCTAAGGCACCTAGTATCTAACAGAAGTCGTCGATGTGTCCGAGGATTTTCCCGAAAAACCAATTACATTGCAAAGAAACAGTTCCATATCAATGTAATGCAGTGATGTCAGGTCTGGTAAAATTTCACCAGATCTGGTGATTTTATGAAAAATCTGGTGATTGGTGAAAAACTTTTTTTCATCAATTTCATCAATTTTGAATATTTTTAACAATGGCATACACTTTATAAACATCTCTCGTAATGTATTAAAATTTTACTTCATTAACATACAAATTTCACTTGTTTGACAGAAAACCAAATACCCATAAGTGGTGTGTGAGGTCCTTTGATTTTTATATAAATTTGTATTTGATCTTTTGATATATTTATATATGTTTCCCTTTTTATATTTCAATTTCTGTTTATTCCAGGCTCTTGTTGCTATTGGCCGGTTATTTTTCAAGTTGGCAACATGTATTTTGTTTGGCCAATGGTGTTGCTTATGGGAAATTTCAGTCAAACCAATCGAAAACTCGAAATTTTTATTTTTCATATTTTCGAAATTTTGACTTTTCCAATTGATTCAGCGGGTTTAAATTAATCGAAAAAAATTCTAAAATCACTTTCAAAATGGCGATTTCAAAAAGCTAAAAAATCTCAATTTTTGTTCTGGAAATTTTTTCAAATCTGGACAAGGTTAGGAATAATGGCCAATATCTTCAAAGAAATTTGAACAAATCGAAACAAATTATATATGGTTGGAAAGAGCATTAAATTCTGTATAAATCTATGCTAAATTGGTTCTGATAACTCGAATACTTTCAGGGCAATCGGATCTCAAAGTTAACTTTTAGTCCAAATTTTATCAAAAATTTCAAACTCGATTTTCTCGAAAACCATAAGAGCTAGCGATTTTAACTAAATACCATTTTAAAGTCCCTGTCAAGAGTTACATTTCCTGAAAATTTTAGTTCAAAATCTTTAATAGATTTTAAGATATGCAAGATCAAATATTTTGAAATAAAAATCTAAAGGGGTAACCCTTTGAAAAATTCGAAATTTTTATTGTTCATATTTATTGAATTTTGACTTTTCCAATCGATAGAGCGGGTCTAAATTAGTCGAATAAAACTCTAACATCATTACAAAGTCTTGATTTCAACACAGAGAAAAATTTTAAAAAAAATCTCAATTTTTAGGCTTAAATTTTTTTTGAATCCTGACAAGGTTAGGAGCAATTGCCAATACTTCTATTAAATTTAGAGCAAATCAAAATAAATTATATATGGTTGGAAAGAGCATCAAATTTTCTATAATTGAGTGCTAGATTGAGTTTGATAACTCAAATACTTTTGGAGCAATTGAGCCTCAAAGTTAGATTTTAGTTGAAATTTAGTCAAAAACTTCAAACTCGATTTTCTCAAAAACCGTAAATGCCAGCGACCTCAACTAAGTACCCTTTTAAAGCCCTCATCAAGGGCTACAATCTTAAAAAAAATTGATCCAAAATTTTTGACGGGTTTCGAGAAAATTGAGTTTGAAAATTTTGAAATTAAAATCCAAAGGGTAACCCTTTGAAAAAATCGAAATTTTTATTTTTCACATTTTTTGAATTTTGACTTTTCCAATCGATAGAGCGGATCTAAATTAGTTGAAAAAAACTCTAACATCATTTCCAAATCTCAATTTCAGAAGGGAAAAAAAATCAAAAAGAAAATCTCAATTTTCAGGTCTAATTTTTTTAAAAATCCTGACAAGGTTAGGAGCAATTGCCAATACTTCCATTAAAATTTGAGCAAATCAAAATAAATTATATATGGTTGGAAAGAGCATTAAATTCTCTATAAATCAATGCTAGATTGAATTTGATAACGCAAATACTTCTAGAGCAATTGAGCCTCAAATTTGGATTTTAGTTAAAATTTAGTCGAAAACTTCAAACTCGATTTTCTCAAAAACCGTAAATGCCAACGACTTCAATTGAGTACCATTTTGAAGCCCTTATAACGAGCCACAATTTCAAAAAAAAATGTTCCAAAATCTTTGACGGGTTCCGAGAAAATTAAATTTGAAAATTTTGAAATAAAAATCCATAGGGTATCTGTGAAAAAAATTCAAAAACTCAAAATTTTCATTTTTCAGACTTTCGTAATTTTAACTTTTCCAATCGATAGTTGAAAAAAAATCTAACATTATTTCAAAATGACAATTTTAAAGGAAGATTTTTTGGATCTAAATTAAAAAAAAAAAATCCTGACATGTTCATGAACACTCATATCTTTATTGAAATTTGAGCAAACTGAAACATATCGTATATCATTAAAAAGAGCATTAAATTTCCTATAATTCTGTGCTAAATTGGATTTGGTAGCTCAAATACTTTTTGATCAATTGAGTCTCAAAGTTGAATTTTACTACAATCACTGATCAATAAATCCCATGTATTCCCAAGAATTACAACTAGTTACTTCTGATATATATTAAATTAAATATTTTACCAGGTTATTTCCATTTTTTTGGGGATTCCTATATCATTCTCAATTTATTATCTGATTTCCTCTAAGCAATAATTTGATTTTCAAAACAATCTCCGGCAGTTAACAAAAATTCAACTAATTGGAGTTTCCTTTCCTACTCAATTCAGAAAATAAAAAAAGTCCCGAAAAATTGAGACTGGAAAACCAGGTACACACATAAAAACCCTCGTCCCTACGGACTCGTAATTTAAAAAGACCCCGGCCCTCTGGGCTCGTAACTTAAGTAGACCCCGGCCCTTCGGGCTCGTAAATTAAAAAGACCCCGACCCTATGGGCCTGCGAAGTGTTGCTGTCAAACTTATGATTTTTTTTACGTGTCTTTTTTTACTAGTTTGTATAAAAAAGAGATAGAAATACATTTTTTCTGAAAATTCACAAAATTATTAGGTTTTGGAAGAAAAATTTAAAACGTAGCAAACCTAGTCGAAAAATGTAGCAACCCTAACGCAATTTAACGTTTCAAAGTAGGCCCTGTAGTTTTTGACAGTTAATTTAAAATGGCTGGGTTGTTTCCAAGACCTACTTGATTTGATAAATTTTTTGTTTACAGTTATCTGTATTACCGACATCGATTAAAGCCTGGGCTGGGATCACGACAAGTAGAATTCTACTTTCATGACGTCAGGTTGCCTAGCAACAGTGATCATCGTCTGTAGTATACGCGATAAATAGATCGCGGGTGACGTCATGAAAATATAATTCTACTTGTCATGATCCCAGCCCAGGATTGCTTCAAGGTTCACTTAGTTTTTGATAAGTAGTAATCTTATCGCTTGTCATAAATGATATTTGACATTTTGCCCAACAGTGTTTCCGATGTTTATATAATTACTGTTATGGAAAATTTGAAATTTGCAAGGCCTACTTGGGCTTTTTTTTTGTATAAATTCGAGCTTCAATGATTGACACAATATTTGTTGAAAGTTGTAGTTGGCAACACTGTTTGTCAAGGGACAAAGTAGGCTTTGCAAAATTTAAATATGGCGTCCTGTAATACCGACATTGCAATACATACATGTTTCCAAAGCCTACTTGGTTTGATATAAGCCCGCAAGGCGAGAATTTTCCTGAAAAATCAACTTTTCTGGTGATTTTTTTTTTTTTAAATCTGGTGATTTTTCATTCCAATTTCTGGTGAATTTAATTTTTTTGACCTGGCAACAGTGATGTAATGTATACGGAATGCTATAATATATATTACATAACACAAATTATTTTAATATAATTCTCTGATTCCAGATCCTAATATACTTATGCAACCTGCTGATTACTGCCTCAAGCCAGCACCTGATCCAAACTCTCCTTGTCAAAAGTTCTGCACCGATATATGCCCAACGTGCTGGGAGGAGAAAATTCTTTTGATTGGATTATGTACAGCTAAAAAATGTGGTTGCTATCCTTATAATTATTGAAGAAAAACTATAATGGAACTCAATAATAATACGTCTATTTCTGTATTTATCACCAAATATAATGTATGGT